GGGGCCTCACCATCGCAGTCCGCCTCATCTGAGCGGTCCTGACAGTCAGCCTCACCGTCGCAGCGAAGTCTCAGGTCCACGCACTGGCCCCGCGCGCAGGGAAACTGGGCAGCGGAGCAGACCGGGCAGCCCTCCTCGTCACTCTGGTCATCACACTCGGGGAAGCCATCGCAGCGCCAGGCCCCCGGGATGCAGTCGATCTCCCCGGTTGCACAGGCGAACTGGTCCGGGGAGCACGTGGGAGGCTCTGGGGAGGGCAGAAACACCGTTTACCCGCCCAGCGCAAGGAAAACCTGGAGATTATCAGGGTGTGTGGTCTCCACTGCCACGTGTCCTGTGCGCTGCCCAGCCCCAGGGTGCGATGAAGGCGGGGGTAATCAATGTTAGCTGAAAGACATGCATTTTCTTTGTGTGTGTGTGGTTTTTTTTCATTGTGAAGGGAAATGGGGCTGGGACCCAGACAAGCAGAGGTGAGGGGGCACCAGTAGAGAGAAGGGAGAGGCCCTTCAAGCGCTTAAGGCTGCCGCATCTCCCAGGGCTCCCATCACCATCTCCTCCTCTCCTTTGTGTGGAAAGTTAACAGAAAACTAACCGAGGCCAGGAAATCGGCCAGAATTTCATTTTAATGTTTAACAACAGTCCTCAAACCCCTTGAAACCTAAGGAAAAGAGTACCTGTTTCACCCAGGAACGACGCATGTAAACCTTTACACTTTTGGAACCCGTGTGCCTCCCACAGAACTGCCAGCTTCTCACCTAGCTGAGCAGGACATGATGCAGGGGAGGGGATGTTTGCAAACACAGAAAGAAACCTGGCTGTCCCCACTGGGCCCACCCGTGGAACATGCCAGGGAGAGCAGAAGCCTGGGTGCATTTGGCATCCAAAAGGAGCCAGTGGTGGATGTCTGCATGCTGAGACACCAACAAAGACCATGCACAGGGGCTGGGATCCAAGGGACCCAACAACAGCAGATGACATTCTTCCCAAGCTCACATGAAACATTCACCAAGACAGACACATGCTGGGCCACGAAACACATCTGAACAAAGCGAAAAGGATAGAAATCATACAATATCTGCTCTCAGACCACAGTGGGATTAAACTAGAAATTGGTAATGGAAAGAGAGCTCTGAATAACAAATGGGCCAAAGAAGCCACAGGAGAAATTTAAAAATATTTGAACTAGCCCGGCCGGCATGGCTCAGCACTTGAGCATTGACCTATGGTCCAGGAGATCGTGGTTCAATTCCTGGTAAGGGCACATGCCCGAGTTGCAGGCTCGATCCCCAGCAGGGGGCATGCAGGAGGCGGCCAATCGGTGACTCTCTCTCATCATTGATGTTTCTCTCTCTCCCTCCCCCTTCCTCTCTCTGAAATCAATGGAAATATATTTTTTAAAAATTAAAAATAAAAATATTTGAACTAACTGAAAATGCAAATGCAAATTATGAAAATGTGTGAGTGCAGCAAAAGCAGTGCTTAGAGGGAAATTCATAGCCCTGAATGCATATATTAGAAAAGGAAGGATGACAAAACAGACTAAGTCTGTTTTAGAGACTGAATGCCACAGGGACTATGATTTTAAAAGGATGCAGTGCAGCAACCAGTAGGCAGAGAATTAGGTCCCTGTCTAGCTTCCCAAGAGAAAGTATTGAGGTCATATCTACCGCCACAGGTCAGCAGGTTCTGCAGGAGCACGAGGTGGACCGGGCATGAGCACCGCGGTGTCCCGTCACCCTTGGCAATGCAGATATGGGAGCAGCCACCATTGTCCCGGGCACATGGGTGGGCCGCTGTGGAAACAAAAAGAGGGTGGGGGTCAAGTTGTGCCTCCCACCTCAGGAATGCAGTTCAGAGGGTGGAGGGGATGAGGGCCAGGTGAGAACTCACAAGAACTGGCACTCCTGTTGGCCAGGCCCCTACAGATCCTCCCACTTAATTCCCAGGGCAGCCCCTGGAATCTGTGTCTAGTGACATTGCATTTTGCAGATGAGCAGAGGCCGAAAGCAGTTACCAAACTTGCCCAACATCACATCCCAGCACATCTTCATCAGCTCCCATTGTGCCCACTACCATTACTCTACACTGCCTGCCTGTCTCTCTCATGGCATAGTGGGCTGACATCATTCTGGATTGTCTGGGTGGGCCTAAATCTAATGATAAGTGTCCTTATAAGAGACGACAAAGGGATTAAGGGATAGATACAGGCGAGAAGGCCAAGTGATGACAGAAGCAGAGACTGGAACAATGTGGCCACAAGGAACACCTGCAGAGACCAGAAACTAGAAGGGACAGAGAACCATCTCTCCTCCCAGAGCCTCCAGAGGGAGCTGAGCCTGCAGACACCTTGATCTCGGACTTCTGGCCTCCAGAACTATGGGAGGACACATCTCTGTTGCTTTAAGTCACCCAGTTTGTGGTGAGTTATTCCAGCGACTGCAGGACACAGACACACACAGGAGTTAAAGTAGGAGGGTGCTGAGTCCCTGGGGAACTCAAATACTTCAACTAACACTGCATCGGATACCTAAAAGATGGGAAGGAGCCCAGGGAGGGGGTGTGGCTGACCTCCCTCAGGTGAGAGGAAATGGCAGAAAGCACTGGCTCCCCGCCCCCAGCAGTCAACACAGAAGTGACAAATTCACTGTCAGGGGTCACGCCCCGGCTCCTCCGAGCAGGGAGCCCAAGACCTCACCCAGACCCATGTGCTTGTACTCCACACATAATTCTAATGGACCCAGTTGCCAACTTGGAGGTGAGCAAGAGACAAACCCTGCAGCTAAAACATGAGCTCCGGCCTCAAACCAAGCCCATCACGTTTATTAGCCAACTGGCAGGGAAAATAACACCCTTTTCGAGCCCTGCTTCCCTTAGATGCAAAGTAGAATGATTGTGAAATATACAATAATGTAACGGTACAGTGAGCACAGGGGCTGCAGGCAGGACAGTCACGAAGTGGCCTGGCCAAGGGGGACCCAGGGGAGAAGCTCATCCACGAAGAGAGGGACACCTGAGCTGAGTGATGGTGAAGAAATAACAGGAGTTACTCAGTCGGAGACGGAAAGATGATTGCACAGAGGGACTCTAGGGAGTGGGGACATGGCCAGTGGGAGGGTGAGAGGCTGGGGTGAGGCTGGTGAGTGGAGCACCCCCAGGGCCTTGAAGGTGGCCAGGCCCTGGGCATCACAGGACGGAGACAGCGATGGCCCTGCTGACCACGATGGCAGCCCAGGTTGGCTCACTGAATGGAGAGGGAAAGGACAGAGCCACAGGTAGACACCTACACACACGCGCCCCATATGCTCATTTATGGAGGGCGTGGAGGACCACGGGGTCCCGGGGTAGAGGTCCCTCCCTCCTAGGCCCTTGGGCAGGGCAGGCTGCGGGAGGCAGAATCTAAATAGCCCCTATTTCCCACCAGCACGGGGACGTGACTAGCTAGCATGTCCGTGGTTTTGCAGATGTAACCAAGGCTACTAGTCAGTTGGCCTGAGCTCGTCACAAGGGAGACTTAAAGAGGGGCCGAATCTAATCACGGGCCCTTGAAAAGCAGGGCGAGCTCTCCCGCTGGAGGAAGTCAGAGATTCGGATCTGTCGCCGATACGGAAGGCAGCCCGGGCGAGGACCTGAAGGCGGCCTCTAGGAGCCAAGAGCGGTCCCCGGCCGGCAGCCAGAACGAGGTCCTCAGTGCCACCACTCTCACAGTGGCCCGACCTCCTGTTTCCCCAAGGGCCGGCTCGGGGTCGCTGTGCCGTGAGTACGTGCCCACCCTCCCCCGCCCACTCCCACACCACTGCCCAGCCCCGACGTACAGAACTCCTCCAGGCTGACGTCCTCCACGGCGTGGATGCCGGTCAGGTGGGTGACACGGCCCTGGACTCGTGTCCTCTTGTCCCCAGTGGTCTTCTCCACGCGCTCAATCATCTGCTGCTGGCGGTCGATCCAGTAGAGATGCTTGCCCAGCACGGTCAGGCCCACGGGCTGCACGATGTTGGCATCCTCCAGCGTCAGGCGGTTGGCCCCTGCAAGTGGGACAAGTGCCCCTGAGTGGCGGCTGACCTCTAGAGCTCCATCCACGCTCGGCTAGGGAGAACAGAGGGCTGCCCGGGAGCCTGGGGGACTCCACACTGGGGCTGGGAGCTGGGGGAGATCTGAGACCAGCCCTCGGACAGCCCTGCCCCCACTTGGGCCAGCCTTGGGATCAGGGACATGGGACCCCAACCGTGGACCCTCGCAGCCGGCCCCCAGTAAGCAGGGTACCTGTCCCGCCCCACCCCATCTTAGAGAAGAAAAGGCCCTCAAAGCACCCATTCTCACTCCTCTCCAGCCCCCGGGCCTCCTGGTCTAAGGCGGCCCCCCTGTGGACTTGGGCACTGGGGGCAGAGGCTCCACCCCACGCTGTGGGGCCGAGCAACCGGCTCACCCCCTCTGAGCCTCATCTTCAGCCTCTGCCGCACAGGGATCCTGGCACCCTTGGTGGAACTACGTGAGGTGAACATCAAGCCCCAGCACTGTCCCCGCACAGAGTAGGTCCCTGACAGCCGTGGCCACTGCTACCACTGTTGCCCATGACAACGAAGGCCAGGTGTCCCGGGAAGGTGAGACCTGTGGGGACGCCCAGGGCACGTACCTGACAGGTCACAGCTTTCGATGCGCTTCAGGTCTGCGTCCACCCAGAAGAGCTTGCCCAGCGTGTTGTCCACCACGAGGGCCACGGGGCGGATGAGGCCCGTGGTGAAGAGGACCTCGCGTTCGGTGCCATCCAGGGCCGCACGCTCGATCTTGGCTGCTCGGTCCTGCATGTTGGTGAAATACAGGTACCTGCGGGAGGGGAGGGGAGGGGAGCAGGTGAGGGGCAGGTGCTGTGTCCGGCCATCTCCTCAGCTAGGATCCAGCTTGCAAAGCACCCGTCAGCCAGCTTACTGTCATGTGGGTTTCGGTCCCCCTCCCACCCTGGCTATTCCCTTTGGGACCCTCAAAGTCTATCAACATGTCCCAGGTGCCCTCCCACCCATCAGAGAACCGGAGGGCCAACAGGTGGGAGCATCAGGGACCTTTATGGAGGGAGAAAGCTCTCCGGAGGGGAAGCTGTGCCCAGGCACAGCCAGCTTGTGAGGTAGTGAGTTCCCTGTGCTGGACCATATGCCAGTGAGTAAGGAGCCAGCACCTGCGACGCCATGGAGGGGATTTCTGTATAAGGTTCGAGTGTGATGGGGAGGGTAGGAAACCTATGAATGGGAACTGACATCCTTCCTGTGTCTCAGTAAAAGCTGAGCCCCCCCCCCCCGCACTTGCTTCCTGCTGGGGCCATCCCCGGGTGTCTGCTTCCCGCTGTGGCCCTGCGGGAGCTAGTGTTTCCATGTCCTGCTCTGGCTGCCGCGGGGGACCTCAGGGAGCTCCTGACCAATGGGAATGTCGGGGATGGAAAACCCCTCCCAGCCCGAGAGGCCGATGTTCACCAAGGGTCGTGGGCCCGCCCAACGGGGTGCAGCCCCCCACATCATGGCGTCCGCCTGCCCCTCTGGCCTCGCACCCTCGCTCGGCATTGACGGCGATGGCCCTGGGCTTGTCTCGGTCCCCACGGAGCACCACACCCATGGCCTCCCCGTTCAGCCTGTGGACGTTGATGGTGTTGGTGGCCTCGCACGTCCAGAACAGCATCCGGCTGTAGACATCGATGCTAAGATCATGGGGCTGCCTGTCTGGGTTTTGGTTCTGGCTCGGAGAGGTCAGAATGAAGGGCTGTAAAACAGTGAGAAAGGGGCGCCGGCTAAAGGCGTGGGCAGGAGGGTGGAGCCTCAGGGCCTGAGCTCAGGCCCAAAGTCAAAATTCCAGGCCAGCAGAATCGGCTCTGTCACTGGAGAGTGACGCCGACGCCCACGACAGCCTCGGGGAAGAGCTCTCGCCCACCCACCCGGATCTCAGGCCCACCCACTCGGGACTCAGCCACCCAGACCAGCGCTGTCATTCTCCTGGTCCTGTCCCTGCACACGTGGAAGGATCAGCCGACGGCAGAACAGTCAACCCAAGATCACGGTCCCCTTCTCAAGACATCTCTCTTCTCTCTTGTTTTCTTAGACTCATGCTTTTGAATTAGGGACATCAAATCTTGCTGTTTTTCAAATTTAGGGTGACAGCACACAGTGTACAGCCCAACCCTCTTCCCTAAGGGAGAGGCCAGGGGTACAAGGCCAGTGAGGAGGCAGGGCCAGGTGAGGGTACAGGGCCAGGTGAGGTTGCAGAGCCAGGTAAGAGCCAGGTAAGAGCCAGGTGAGAGCCAGGTGAGAGCCAGGTGAGGGCCAGGTGAGGGCCAGGTGAGGGCCAGGTGAGGGCCAGGTGAGGGCCAGGTCAGTGCACAGGGCCAGGTCAGGGCCACGTCAGGGCCAGGGCAGGGCAGGTGAGGGCCAGGTCAGGGCACAGGGTCAGGTCAGGGCAGGTGAGGGCACAGGGCCAGGGCCGGGCAGGTGAGGGTGCTGAGGCAGGTGAGGCCTAAAACCAGACTTTAGGACACCAGTCCTCAGGGCAGCCAGCTGAGAACCACACAGCGTGAAACAAGAGGCTGCCCACATCCCTCCCCAAGAGACCAGCTCTAATGGCGGGCCAGTTTTATAAAACCTGAACCTCAACTTTAGTGTAAGTAGCAATCCTTTGGTTGATGCCTCATTTCCAACCAGAATCCTACTCAACACCACGATCAACAGCTCCTCCGCCAGCCCAAGGCGCTGCTCAGCCAGCTCACACTGCTCAGGGCAGACTGTTCGCGCGAAGGAGCAACCACAGTGCCCACGGATGGGTGAAGGGAGAAGCAAAACGTGGTCCAGCCGCACAACGGAGTATCATTCAGCCTCAGCGAGGAGGGAAACCCTGCCACCTGCCACAGCAGATAAACCCTGAGGTCATCAGCTCAGCGAAACAAACCAGACACAGAAAGACACATGACTTTATAAGCATGATTCTGCTCCTATGAAGTACTTAGAATAGTCAAATTCAGAGACAGAAAATAGGATGGTGGGTGCCAGGGGCCGGGGGAGGGAGGGGGGACTAAGTGTTTACTGAGGCCGAGTGTCAGCTTGGGAGGTGCACAGCTCTGGAGACGAGGGTGGTCATGGCTACACAGCAATAGGAACGTAACTAATGTCACTGAACCATACGCTTAAAAACTATTAAAAGGGTTCTGTCACGTATACTTATCACAGTAAAAAATTTTAAATAGCTAGGAAAGAAAACTTAGAGAAGTAGATAATAATTTTGAAACATGATCTGTGAGGGCTGGGTGGGGTGCCCCAAACACAGAATTGAAGCCAGAGCCACCAGGAGGGAACCCTGCTTCCAAATTCAGTGAAAACCCAGAAGCTGCTCCTAAAAGGACTTTTTCTTCCAATTCTTTCCCCACATTTGCCTGGACACCATAAAAGGATGCCTGGATGAGGCACTTTGCACCCTGCAACTGTCTCGGCAGGGAAGCCGCAGTCCCTCAATTAACACTCCCCTGCTCTTTCTCAAGGGACTCCCCGTGATCGCCACCTCCACCAAGCCGGATGAAAGAAACCCATTTCCACCAGGCTCCGCGCCGCGGAGATGCCCGCGGAGAAGACGGCGCAAACCTCAAAGGGTGGCCTGTCAGCTTCACATCCCGGCTGAAGAATTTTGTTGAAAGCTATGCCCACCCATCCCTATAGCAACAGCATCCAGCTCAGGGGAGGGAACAGCAAAACCTTCTTTACAGACACGAAAGTCATCTGAAAATCTCCACCAGTGAGCACGTCTCGCCATCACTGTTGTCACGGGTCTCAAGAGTTCACCGCGGTGACACAGGCCCCTGCACTGACCGCTGGGCTGAGACGGAGGCCATCTGGTTCTGTGGCTTTTGTAAAAGGGGCCTTTGGAGCCCAGACGGTGTGGCTTACTGGCTGCGCATCGACCTCTGAGCCAGGAGGTCACGGTTCGATTCCCAGTCAGGGCACGGGCCCGAGTTTCCGGCTCGATCCCCAGTGGGGGGCGCGCAGGAGGCGGCCGATCGATGGCTCTCTCATCATCGATGTTTCTCTCTCTCTCTCCCTCTCCCTTCCTCTCTCTGAAATCAATAAAAATATATTTTTTTAAAAAACGAATGTGTTCCAACGCAGAGATGTACCAGGGACCGTCTGAGCAGAACACAGGTTTCACACTTACAGGCAACTTCAGCCGTGAGAAGCACCAGGTAAATGCACTCAGCACCGGGCTGAGTAGGAAAACACCCCCCCAACACCCTGTCCCCCTGTGAGCCCCCACATTCACTCTACCATCTCAGAAAACCCCACAGGCTCGACCTTCTGACACCCAGGTCCTCAGCCAACTTCAGGTCCCCTCGAGGTAAGGTGCCATCTCCAGGGTGGCGTTTATGTCCCAAGCCATTTAACACCTGCAGAGTGGTGCTCCTGTCTTAGGCTCCTGTCTTTTTTTAGCGTCTCAGTGACAAAGTTTTGAGTAACGTGTCCCAGCCCCATCTTCCCCGTGAGCCCTGTGGCTCGTGCTGTGCAATTTTGCAGTGTGCTGATTTTTACAACACATTCGCTGTATTATAGCGGAACTGACTATACAACTCCTGTGAAATAAGAAGAAATGCAGAACAAGCAATACCAACTACCCTGCGCAAAACCCCCGTGGAAGGAAAAAAATCCCGCGGGGTGTGACACTATCCCCCCAGCCAATGACTTCAAAAACTATAAAATCCAGTTTCTACACATAATCAGTCTAAGAGTTTCACACGGCTCAGGTAATGACATGACCGGAGCCCAAATCACTGTTTACCCAAAACTGTTCTGGGGGCACCTTCACGGCTAAGGAAAGTGGGCGGAGCCCGGAGGTGACAAGGGCGCGCTTCCTCGCGAAGCCCCGCCCCCCGCCCCCCGCAGGCCCACTTGCCTGGGTCCCGTCATCCCGGGCTCGCTTGATGTTCTGGCGCCCATCCACCCAGTAGATGAACTTGTCCAGGGGGTCGTAGTCGATGGCCTTGACGTTCCTCAGCCCGTGCAGGGGCAGGATGAGGTCCGGGCTGTGCTGGTCGTCCGGGATCATCCGGCTGATGGCACTTTTCTGGCTGAACAGCAAGAAGGTGCTGGGCGCTAGGGTGAGGCAAACAGACGGGGCCGCAGGTCAGCACCCAGCAGCCACGGGGAGGACGGCGCTGCGCGCTATCACGGGGAACAGACCGTGTGCGCACCCCCGGCGTACAGGGGGAAAGGCTGCTCTGGATCCCTGCCAGGACTCCCACCTGGCTCAAGCCTTACCGGACCCGCGGTGTGACCTTGCACAGGTCCCTAGGCATCTGTCAGGTTCCCTGCCTGTGAAATAGGGACAGTGACACTTCCCGCCCTATGGCCTTGAGGATTAAACGAGTGCCACAGAAAGTACTTAGGCCCAGCCAGCATGCTCAGTGGTGGAGCACTGACCCAGGATCCAGGAGGTCGCGGTCCAATTCCCGGTCAGGACACATGCCCGGGTTGCGGGCTTGATCCCCAGTAGGGAGTGTGCCGGAGGCAGCCGACCAATGACTCTCTCATTACGGATGTTTCCATCTCTCTCTCCCTTCCTCTCTCTGAAATCAATAAAAACATATTTTTTAAAATAATTTAAAAAAAAGAAAGTACTTAGAACGACGCCTCCCTCCCTAAGTGAGGGCGCTCCCCCCGGGGACTGGTTTTCACATCCAGGATTCCGCACTCGGGACCTGCCAGCTTAGGGCTTGGCCCGTCTATTCCTGTCTTGATGAAGCAACAGGTCCCCCCCAGCCCAGGCCTCCAGGCAGCACCGCGGGGTGCGCGCACCAAGGTGCCCTGTCCGCCGGCCGCAGAGCCAGCGGGCGTAACGCGGGGTGAGGCGCGGTGGGGAGCGGGGCACTCACGGCTGCAGTTGCGGCTGCTGGGGTCCAGGGTGTAGTGCGAGGCACAGCTGCAGCGGTGGCCGCCGGGGACGGCGAGGCACAGCTGCCCACACTGCCCGTTGTTGGGCACGCAGTCGTTGAGGCCGTCCTGGCGGGAGGAGTGGAACACCAGGATGTCCATGACGAAGTCCAGGTGGCCCTGGATGAGCGTGCGGTTCCGGCCGCTGGTCTTGTCGGCCCGCTCGATGCTGTGCAGGTTCCAGTCTGTCCAGTAAATGTAATCGCTGTACTGCGTCAGGCCGAAGGGGTGCGGGAGGTCGTCGGCGATCACGACCCGCTCCTGGCCTGCGTGGGGACACACGGGCGGGGCGTCAGCTACCGCACAGGGCGCCCACCAGCCTGGCCGCTTGTGCCGGGGCCGGAGGGTTCGGCCGCTCTGGAAAACGGGCAGGATCGACCTTCGTCGTCTGTGCACTGACCCTGGGGGCGGGCGACTCTGCTGTGCACGGAGCATCGGGAGCACAGCGGGCACCCGGTGACAGACAGGAGCGCGCGGCCAAGAGCTGGAGACAACCCAAAGGCCCGCCACTCGCAGAACGGAGGAACGGTGGTGGGGTCTTCATATAACGTTGTAAAAAAGAGTAAGAACGTGGGGGGCTTGGGGGGCCTGGGGGGCCCTGGGGCAGGCTCGGGGCACGGGCTCAAAGACTTTCAGAGCTGGCGGTTGGCCTCGTAAGCCAGGACAGTCGGCGTGCCGGGTGGGTGTGGCCCGTCCCAAGCAAAAGACAGGACACTGGGCTTCTAGTTCTGTTCACACCTGGGACAGGGCATTCAGCCCCCCATGCCTCAGTTTCCTCATCTGTAACATGGGCACAACCACTCCCACCACGGGTGACAGCAGCAGTGATGAGGGCGGAAGCTAGATTCTCCCCACTGCCCCACCACCCAGGGAGCTGACACGACCACACCCCTCCAACAGCACAGCAGAGTTACATGATCTGGGTTCAAATCCTGTCCCTACTGTTGGGTTCCCCACCTACTTGGAACAAGGTGTGTTTTTTTAATCTAATCCCAGGGTGTTGGCTGTGGCCTGTGAGTGGCCCTAGAATAAGGCAGGTGCTCAAGGTGAAGACTGAGTGTGTGGCCCTGGGGTCTGAGCTGTGCTCTGTGACCCCAGGCAAGTCCTGTCACCTCCCTGGGCCTCAGTTTCCCCATCAGTGAAAATTTCTGCCATAAGTCAAATCAGAGTCCTGGCTCAGGACTTAGCTGGAACCCAGCTTTCAGTGCTACAAACAGCAGCCACCAGGGTCTGTGGACATGCCCATGGCACAGCTCGGAAAGGGACAGCCCTTGAGAGGGGAAGGCTGGACGAGCGTTAGGGGCATGTCCACACCTCCCGTAGGGCCCAGGGGCTCGCAGGCCAGAGGGCGTGGTGCAGGGGGGCTGACAGGTGACCGATGCTCTAACCAAGGCCACCCCGTCCCCACAGGACCCGCCGGCCCTCACCCAGCATGTTGGACGACTCGATCATGTTGGTGTCCAGGTCAGTCCAGTAGAGACGCTGGTCAGCGTAGTCAATGGTGAGGTCATTGGCCCGGCCCACCTTGTCCACCAGCGTCATGCAGTTGGTCCCGTCCATGAAGGCCCGCACGATCCTTGGCTTGCCGCCCCACTCGGTCCAGTAGATGTAGCTGGAGGACATGGGGGAAAGTCGGGGAGGCTCAGGGGCGCCCACACTCACGGAGGGCCGGGAACATGACCGCCACCATCCCNCCCACACTCACGGAGGGCCGGGAACATGACCACCACCATCCCCTGAGCTCAGACGAAGCCCAGAGGAAGCTGCGTCCACGGCATCCCTCCCGGAAGCAGGGAAGAGGCAAGACGCCTGAGCCCCCCGCCACCCCCCGAGGGGCCGTCACTGGGCTACCTCCTGCCTCCTGAACCCCCGCAGCAGCTCGCCTGCAGGGGAAGGGTGACGGCCCCGCCGACAGACACAGACAGGTGCACCGACAAGGTGACCCTGTGACGGGACAGCTAGGCTGGGATGCCGTGTCAGGGACAAAAGCTATCTAAGCGGGACAAGATAACCAGTGACAAGGGACCAGGACGAACACGGGCAAAGCAGGATATAAGGGAGCAGGAAACAGGACCCCCGGGGAGGCTGGTGCTGCAGGGCCAGGATCCAAACAGCTCCGGGAGAGGAAACTCGAATCCTCCTTCCAGGATCGGGCACATGGGACTTGACCTTTTGCTAAAACCTGGACCTCCCTGCTCTGCCATCCCGAAATCGTTCCTTCCCTAACAGAGTGTGCGACAGGCTGGGTTTGGGGTGCTCCACACACACAGCTGATGCTTTATGGGACGAACGTGNTGTGCGACAGGCTGGGTTTGGGGTGCTCCACACACACGGCCGATGCTTTATGGGACGAACACAACGTCAGATGCTCAGAAAAGGAAACTCCCGAGCAGAGGGAGGCTCCACCCTGGACCCCGCACCCTGGGGCAGAGCCCAGGCCGCCAGCAGGCAAAGGCCCGAGTGTTAACCCTCGGCCAAGAGGCCCACATGAAGCCTGAAGTCCAAGGAGCTCAAAGCCAGCCCCGAGGCGGCGGAGTCCGGTGACACGGGGCGAGGGAAAGAGAACAGGACCTCCTGGCCCAGCCCTGCTCCGACTGGTTATGGGACCTTGGGTAAGCCCCTCAGCTTCTCTCAGCCTCAGTTTCCATCTCTGTATAATTAGGGACAAAAATGCCCAACCCTCCCGGACACCGCAGTGAGACAAGCCACGTGAAAGCCCCCAGCGCAATGCCCACCACGGTGGCCGCCATTCCTTCCCCTGCTCGGGGTCTCAGTTTCCCCCTGTGAAATGAACCAGACAATCTCCTAGGGTGCAGCCAGCCCAGGCCACCTCAACACGAGCGGCGGTCAGTGCTGCTCTGACCACAGAGAGCCAGCAGGGCGGCCACCCGCCCGTCCTGGGTCATCGCCGTGCTGGCTGACGTCAAGGTGGGAGGGGGACAGGGACACTCGTGCAGGACAGAAACGGCGGGCCTTACCCCTTGGTGGGGTCCAGGGCCAGCGACCTCGGGTTGTCCAAGTCCCTCCACACGAGGACCTGCCGGAACTGTCCATCCAGCCGGGCCACCTCGATCCTGTTGGTCCCGGTGTCCGCCCAGTAGAGGTTCTTGCCCATCCAGTCGACGGCCATGCCTTCAGGGTAGTCGAGGCCGAACTCGATCACGTGCTCCACCGAGCTCCCATTCAGGAAGGCACGGCTGATGGTCTGGGAGGCGGGGACAGAGGGCCACCATTAGAACCAGACATTTAATCATGAGATGCTCGGCCACCTGGAGCAACTACTCAGCAGGCTGGGGCCAGATCACCAAGATTCAAGAGTTTTTAAATGAACTTGTCAAATATAAACATTTTAGAAAAAGCATTTGGCTATACTTACATATAGTATATGTAACTATATATTTTATGTGCTTATAAAATAAGTTATACATAAATTACATACTACATATATCATGAACCTTAAAAACAGCCGTGTCCTTCCATTCAGCAATCTTCCTCCTGAAATTTTACCCAAAGGGATGAACAAAAATACAGAACTACTGGAAATACAGAGGGGGCTTCCCCGCAGAGACCTTTACTGTGGTTGCTCAGAGCTGGTGAATGTGGAAAGGACCAGAAAACACTTAAGATAAGGGAATGGTCAGGTACGACAGGGAATATCTATGCAGCAGAATCTTTTACACACTTAAAAAATTCTGTTAAGAGCTTACAAAAGGCTAATAAAATAAGTGCCTGCTAAAACGTTAAGTGAAAAAAGAACAGGAAACAGAATTCGAGGCAGCATATGACTGTGATTAAAAGAGAAATAGTATCAGAGGGAGAAAACCTTCAAGGAAATACACAGAGGTGTCAGCGACGGCTGAGCTGGGCTGGTGGGCTGGTGGGTGACTTTCATTTTCTCCTTTGTACTTTTCTGTATGTTTCCCTCTTTCTACAATGACCCCTGGTGGCTTTTAAAATCAGAAAACTCTTTAAGAGACATCATATAAACGGCAGAAAAAAAGGCAGGTGGTTCAGCTGTTTTAGCTGTAAACACTGTGCTTCAGGATAGGGGTCCGCAAACTTGCTCTGTGAAGGGGCAGGCAGGCAGGTGGTAAATATTTTAGGCTGCACGGGGCACAGGGCCCTGTCACAGTTCAACCTGAAAAAGCAGTCGTGGACAATCCCTTAACAAATGCGCGTCGCCGTGTTCCAATAAAACTTTATTTACAAAAGCAGGGGGCCGGCCCACGGCCAGTCCACCAAACTCTGCTTTCCCTGTATTTAGCCAGGATGTTCACATGTGCACCACGAATGAAGAGCGAGCTTGCTGAGCAAGGGCACACTGGGAGGGAGTGGGCGGGTGAAGCTAAGGACCGCGTCACAAGTGTTTCCTGGCCACGCAATCGCCCTAGAAAAACCAGGCCCCATGTGGGTCTCCTGGATCTGCTCATCGCAATCATTCATGTTAGTTTATGGAAACAGGCTCACTAATATTTTATTGGCTTGAGTTGAGTTACAATAAATATTGTTTAAAATTTAAAAGCCTAGCCCGGCAGGGCGTGGCTCGGCAGTTGAGCGTCGACCTAGGATCCAGGCGATCGGGGTTCGATTCCCGGCCAGGGCACATGCCCGGGTTGCGGGCTCGATCAATGACTCTCTCATCATTGATGTTTCTGCCTCTCTCTCCTTTCCTCTCTCTGAAATCAATAAAGATATATTTAAAAAAATAAAAATAAGAAAATAAAGAAATAAAAGCCTTGCGCTGGCCAGCGTTGCTCAGTGGTTAGAGCATCGACCCGCGCACCGAAGGGTCATGGGTTCGATTCCTGGTCAAAGGCACATACCTGAGTTGCAGGCTCAATCCCCGGCCCCAGTCAGGGCGAGAGAGGGAGGCAGCCAATCGACGTGTCTGTCTCACATCGATGTTTCTCTCTCTCCCTCCCTCTCCTTTCTACTCTCTCTAAAAAAAAAAAAAATCAATGAAAAAAATATCCTTGGGTGAGTAACGAAAAAACAAACAAAAAAGTTTAAAAGCGTCTGAGGCAGTCCCACTGCAGGCAAGGTGCTGACAGGTAAGCTGTGAGCAGGACGCCAGGCAGACTGTACCTTCAGGCTGACGTCCGTCCAGTAAATGTGATTGTTGGACACGTCGAAGTCCAGCGCGGAGGCCTCCTTGACGCCCGTGAGCGGGATGGCCACGTCGTTGTTGTTGGTCTCCAGGGAGATCCTGTGGATGGTGGCTCTGCTGGTGAACACCAGGAAGGCCTCGGGGACGATGCAGGTCTTCATGTCGCTCAGCAGCTCCAGGCCGATGGGGCAGCCGCACTTGGTCGCACGGGGTGTGAAGAAACACAGGTGGCTGCAGCCCCCGTTCCTGTCGGCACACGGGTTGGTCCCTGCAAGTCAACACACGGGCCCTACGGGTCAGCAGCGCGGCAGAGAGCGGGCGACTGGTCCACGGTCACGTGGCTTTATTTCCGCCAGACACGAATGGGGACACTGGGTGGAGACCACGGAAGCCCAGGTCCTCCCTGGGACAGGAGTGGCAGTCACAGTGGGTCCCAGCGGGTCCCCGTGTGTTGCCTCGCTCTGACCACACAGGGGCCCTGGAGGCAGAAGCCAGTCCCGTCCGTTTTGCAAAGGAGGAAACCGAAGTGCGGAGCAGTTCCCGAAGGTGACGCAGGAGTTAGGGAGGAGCTCAAGGAGAAAAAGGGCCGGGAGGTGGAGCCCCCGGACCCGAGCTCCGGCTCAGGTTGGGCACAGTAATGCCCCGAGGAAATGATGGGACAATCGTCCTTCCTGGGGCTGGACTCGGGGCCGCTGACCGGCCGGGACCTGCGGCCCCACCGGATGCTTCCTTGGATTCACANCCGGATGCTTCCTCAGATTCACGACACTCTCAGCCAGCTCGGGAACTCAGACGTGCCAGGACGGCCAGAGGCAACGCGTCCTTATTAAAACTGATGGTACTCGGCACGCCCATTTATTTGGGGCCAGCCGCTAATCTCACCCATCTGCTGGGTGCTGGTAGAATTGGCTCTAATTTGATGTTAAGTATTTCAGCTAAAAAAAGAATGCTTTTCCCGTCTCTCTCAGTAAATCCTCAGATGAGAGAGAGAGAGAGAGGGGAGAGAGGGGAGGGACGAATGACCCTAATTTCTCAACTTTAAATCACACCCCACGGATATGTCTTTTTTTAGCATCTTCGGGGTTTTGTTTTTTAAACAATCACTCACAGTGGGCCCCATGGTCTACACTGGACGGTGAGTGTGTTTTACAAGGTGGCTGGTAAAAGAGTGTGTGCTGATTCCATCACCTGTGTCTCGGGAACGCAGGTTGGGACTGAAGGCCCAGGGATGCAGAAGGGGGGCCCCTCCCTGGTCGGCCCACCCGCCGCACCTCGGGGCCTCTCTCAGCGGTCCCCTCTTCCGGCAAACCCTACCCCCAACCTGCTCCTTAAATTCCAAGCTCAAAAGACCTCCCTTTTATTTTATTCCCTTTTTCTTTCTTTCTTTCTTGACTTATTTTCATTCCTTTTATTTCCCTCCCTTGCATTTTAAAGCCAGGCATTCCTCTAACACCCAGCTATGGCCTTTGGGCAGCAGGACGCACGGCCGGTGCTCGGTGTCAGCCATTCTTGGAAAGTCACTGCCAGCAGCGCCCAGTCACTATCCGCAGTCAGTACACCGCCCCGCGCCCACCCGCCCCTAACCAGATGTGATCACCATCTCCCGTCCTGCCCACAACCCCGGGTGAGGCTCCCCAGCTGGACAGTTATGCCTCCAGTATTGGTCCCCCAACTGGACCGAAGGGCAGCCACAGCCCTTTAGGTTCTCCCTCACACCAGTGGGCACAGCTGCCCCGTGGCTGGAGGCTGAGCAGACTCACCAAAGACCTTGGCCACGTTCACGGCCTTGAGCCCCATCAGGTCGGGCAGCTGATCGATGATGACATCGCGGCTGGCCTTGACCTTGTGCACGCGCTCGATGCTCCGGCGCTGCCAGTCTGTCCAGTAGATAAAGTCCCCCAGCAGCGTGAACCCGAAAATGTGCGGGAGCTTGTCCTCCAGGAGTGTCCGCCTCTTTGTCCCGTCGATGTTGATCACCTGGCGGGACGGGAGACGCAGGTATGAACCAGACTTGGGCCCGAGCTGCCCGAAACAGGACTGGGGCTGGACTCCCCGGAGCCGCAGCTCCTTCTGCACCTCGAGAGGCCACCACAGAGCTGGTGACATCACTCATCCAGGAGCTGGATGAACGGCATCGTCAGTGGGGGCTGGCTCGGGGCCTCCCCCCACAGCGCCCCCTGCCCGGGGAGGATGCCGGGAACAGGTGAGGCAGGCAGGCAGGCAGCTTCTCCCTTACACTGCGGACCGACCGGGGTGCTGCCTGGTACCACAGCGTGGGTCTCACCCCGGGGTGGGCTCCACAGGACGCAGTCCTGACACCCATTAGCAAAACCCGCCCAGGGCAGCACAGGGGGCCCCCGGATCACACCCGAGACGCGGAGCTGAGTTTCAAAAGTCCGGACAACTGCGGCACAGCGGGCTCTGGGCACCATCACCCACGTGCCCGCGGACTAACTTCCCGCTCGGCCAGGACCCGACGAAGGCGGGGCGCTCTGGTTCTGCATCGGAGCTGTCGCCCTAGGACGCCTCCCACGCCCAGCACACTAGTGGCCGTTTACTCCGCGAGGTTGGAGCTACATCCTTTCCTTGAAGCGTCAGCGCTGATTAAAAGCACCAACCGCAAAAGCCACAGAGGAAAATACCATCAAACACAAGACACCCTAACCAACCGAAACACACACAGGCTAAGACGGGGTCCTGATGACAGGGGATCCTGCAGTGGCTTCTGTTGAAAGGGAGCCGATAAAAACGCAACATCCAGACCCTGGGCCCTCGGGCCAGGATGAAAGCGACACAATGAATGAAAAGCAGGTCTCAGCAGGCCTCCGGCAGACAGATCGTATTTCCAGCTCATCAGAAAATCTCAAGCCTCTGTTCCCAGGCAGCAAACACACCAGACAGGGCAAATTTGTGGAGCAGGAAAGACTTTTGGTCCTCTTGCTGGAAAGTACAGGGCAAAATCGCCGGGCCCAGCGGCAAGGCCAGCTGCCGGGGCCCCATCTCAGCAAGTCCCTGTACCCCATGGACCTCAGCTTCTCCACCTGGAACTGAGGGGAGCAGCCAAGGTCCCCCAGGGAACTTAACCAAACAAAGAACAACAGCCGGGACCCAACCTGGGGCAACTACATCAGAACCGGGAGGCCCTGGGCCCAGGTGTGGATCCTGAAAGCAGCGCCCCACAGGAGATGCCGACGGGCAGCCCAGCGCGAGCCCGCGATTAGACCACCCCCTTTCACCACGAGCGGGGCACTGCCGGCCTCCCCGGAAGGCAGACCGCAGGCTGTGTGGGCGTCCGCGCGCAACTCTGGCTCACCTCGATTTTGTCCGTCTTGGCGTCTCCCCAGTAGAGCTTCCCCTCCTGCAGGTCCAGGGCCAAGCCGTTGGGCCAGCCAAGGGACGTGTTCACCAGGACGCGTCGCTCCTGCCCGTCGAGGTTGGCGCACTCAATTTTGGGGTTTTCCCCCCAGTCCGTCCAGTACATGAGGCTGGAGAAGAAACACACGTCAGTGACAGTGTCTGTCCTGTCCCTGCTGCATCCCTAGAGCCCAACGCATCACATGGGAGGAGCTTGAGAAATTATGGCTAAAGGGACAGACGAGCACCAAGGCCCGTGTGCAGGACCAGGGACTCCACAGGAACAGGGGCGTCCGCGATGCTCGGGGCCCCTGGACTCGAAGAGGCCAGCCGTCTCGTCGCCCACCCAGCAGGCCAGCGGGGGGAGCAGACGCCCTGACGGGGGACCTGGGGGACCTGGGGGCCAGGGGTGAGGCCGAGCACTGAGAGGGAGGGGGAGACAGAGTGGGAGCTTCTCCAAGGAGTGGAGGGGCTCCCTTGTGCAAAGCAAGTGACATGTTCTTTGTGGCCCCGAGAAGCAAAACTGGACCCTGCGGTGGCAGCTCCAGGGCAGAGGGTTCGGCACTCGGACAACCTGCCTGAGCTGTGCCCTGACCCTCCCATCCTAACACCTGGCTGCCAGCCCCATTTCCCCGGGGGCCTCAGACTCCAAACGAGAAGGGACCTTGGAGTCTGCTTCCCCCCACCCCCATCACAGGGGAGGACAGTGAGGCCACGGAGGCCATCACGCGACAGGGCCGTTCATGGCTGGCAGAGCGGATGGACAGCAACCCCCGAGCCACAGTCCCTACCCTGGAGCTGGCAGGCAGCACCTCTGCCTCCTTGCCCCTTACACCCCAGGGACCCGCTTCTCACCCTCACCCACCCTCCTCGGGGACAGTCCTGCCCTCGGCAGCTGGCACAGAGCAGCGTCCGGCTACCAGCCCCACCTTGAGCAAGTCCCTTAACTTCTCTGGGCTTCAGCTTCCTCCGCCATACACCCTGCCCCACGGGGTGAGGGGGGAAGAAGGGATGTAACTACCGAAGCATGAAACGCCACCGCGACTAGCCCAGCAATCGCCCTGAGAAACGTTCCACTTTGCAGACACAGAGCTGAAGCCCAGGGAGGAAATGACTTGCCCAAGGTCTCTAGAGCTTTCTGTGCATAGATACAACAGCCTGTGTCAAAGCCTCTCAAAGTCTGGCCCAGGACCAGCAGAACCATCTCTTGAGAGCTTCTTAGAAATGCAAGTGCTTGGGGCCCACCCAGGCCTCTCGAGAGAACTCTGGCAGCAGGGCCCAGCCACGTGAGTTTTAAGGAGCCCTCCTCCAAGGGACAACTGGGTAAAAGAAATTTCTAGAACTCCTGTTCTGCCTGTCAGCCCAGCCAGGTGGGGAGGCCCACCCGCCCAGCCTCACCCCATCACCGGGTGCAGCGCGATGGCACGGGGCTCGTCCAGGTCCTCAGACACCAGGATCTTGCGGGAGGTGCCATTGAGGCGTGTCACCTCGATGCGGTCTGTGCCCGTGTCAGTCCAGTAGAGGTTCCGGGCCACCCAGTCAACCGCGATGCCGTCGGGGTCATTGATCTCAGTGTTGACCAGCGTCTGTGCCCCTGACCCGTCCAGGTACGCCCTGCGGATGGCCCGCACTTCATCGTCCGTCCAGTAGACGTAACCCTCCAGCGGGTCGTAGTCGATGGCGATGGCGTGCCGGATGTCGTCGACCTGCAGGAGGATGTCGGTGAAGTCCGGCGTGTCCAGTGAGATCCTCCGCAGGTCCGTCCGCCGCGCCAGCAGCAGCACCTCCTCGGCCCCTGTGGACACAC